CCACAGGTCATCCAGAAAAGGCTATATAGCGGTCGATCCCCCCGGAGCTGGTTTGAGCACATTTGCGCAAGTATAGCCTACATATTCAATAAACTGTTCCCCCAAGTTGCAGTATTTACTCAATGAATAGATTTAATATCTCCACCATTTCCAGCCATAGACATTGACATAATTTTCATTGGACTTCAGCTATCCGAACCAGAAATCGAAGAGATGCCATTCGACTCCCAAGGTGATAAATGGTCTTGGTGAGATCTCCTGTCTTGGATCTATACCAGATCGTAGAAAATACTTATCCCACAAGTGAATCCTGTATTCGAGGCCACCGCTCGTCCAAATGCGCACACTATGACCGACCGATGAAGAGAATCCCTAAAGCTGGACGTCCGCTGGCAAAGTGCTCCCACCTCAATGGGGTAGATTGCAGTTGTCGGGAGCTTCGGGCGATTATGGTTCCGCTTAGTCCAGGTATGTCGTGTCAGAGGAACGGAAGTAATTTGGATTGGACATAGGTTTGTATTAATATCGTTTTGAATAGGATCGACGGTTTGCAGACCCGAATTTGACACTCAGCCGGTACAGCAGCAGCAGGTCGATCATGTTCATACTGAGGGTAGATGATTATTTGGGTGATGTTGATGGGCATTCTCGTTTTATAAGGAGTTGGGTAAATGACGAAGTGGGGATTAAGCTATAGAGAATCATGATTGTTCTTCCTACATAGAAAAAGCGTAGACCTCGACCGCAGTAATTCATACGCCAACTTTTGTTTCCAGATAAGCGCATTCCTACTTCGGTATATCCGAGGTCCCCGAGGGATATGTCAGATAGATACATATCAGACATGAAGCGTGCAGGTTTACCACTAGAATCTGAGGACCTGTGAAAGCGACGCCGAAAATGACCGCTTTGGCGCCTGAAACGGCTCCCTTTCCACCGATAACTTTGGACGGCAAGCCTCCGCTTGACCGCCCGCCGCCCTGTTACTGCCCACTATTCTGCACCCATTCAGCACCATTAGTCATCAACCTCTGGCCCTGATGTTGCCGCTTGACTTAGTTCCCCCGTTTCCACTCGCGACCAAAACGACGCCGAAAATGGCTCCCCTCCTAGACCTTGACATTTCCCATGGACACCCTATAATCTTCGGCCCACCGTACATGCCCATAGATCCCATGTGATAAAAGAAAATTCCCACGCTAGCATAACTAACCTAAAACGGGTGGACAAAATTGTAACGGAAAAGCGTTATGGAAATGGATTCCAGGATCTTGATATACATTTAACTTCTTTGTCTCGAGTTTCTTTGATGGTTTCCAAGGATCGACCATGTGACCATCTTGACAACTGCCAGCGTCCGAAAAGAAGACTCAGAAGCTAGCTGAACACATCATCGTAACAGGCACGATTCGGGGATGAAGAGTCGTTGGCATGGACGGCCATTTTCCAGCCCCATCCAAAGATCTCCACGTCGAACAAAAACCCCTAGAGGCGGCTGAAAATGCCTAGCTGAATTCACCCTTCGCTGCTAGGTAGATATTTCGCCCCCACCCCCTGACGTAGAAACTCACTAAATATGTGACGATCAACTGTGCACAGCCCCGATCAGCCCCAAACACGAAAATTAGTGTTATCGCCAGGAACTCTTTGAGCTGCGACTGCAGCGGACTATATATGCCAGCGACGCTGACCTCCAACCCAGAACCCTCTCTTTCTGAGAAATCAGCCTCACCCACCTGGAAAGTCCCTCTATATCTTTTATTAATCTCTCTTTACATTATTACCCGCGCCAGTGTGATCGCTGTATGGCAAAGCTGCTGGCAGACAGTGGCCAAAGCAGGTCCCCCACCTTCAAGAAAATCACTGAACCTGGTCGTTGTTCGTAGTCACCGACAACTACAGCAACGGAACAGTATCCCAGGACTGTTGCGGCCAGATCAGACTGGCACTTGCCTACTGCAGTCATGTTTAGCTTTGACCGCATAGAGGACCCAGACGGAAACGAGAAGCCCAGTCTACTCACAAATTTCACATCAATAACTTGGCTATCTAAGAACACATCGAAAACAGAGCCAGAAGTTTCAAGCGCACCCTCTAGCCGTGCCTGGATTAAAGGCGTCGTGATATGTTCATGGGTTATTGCCACCGTTCTCACCATAAATATTGTCCTGACGATCATCGCCGTGGGCATTGCCTATTCAAAAAATGGCGAAGAAGATTTCTCCTTCGCAGCGCTGTATATAGGGAAATGCTCCGTTGCAAAGAACTGGATGACGGGGTTACACCTTGTTATTAACATTCTCAGCACGGTCATGCTGGGAGCGAGTAACTACTGTATGCAATGCCTTGTGGCGCCGTCTCGGGCGCAGGTTGATGCAGCGCATAGTAAGCGGGTCTGGGTGCCTATTGGGGTCCCGAATATCTGGGGCTTGCTTTGGAACCAGCAAGGGAAGAGGCAGCTGCTTGGGTGGATCTTGCTGGCTACATCATTGCCTATTCATTTGATGTGGGTTTGGGCGCTGTTGACATTGTATAAGTGACCGTGACTGATTGGATCCTTTCTTGTTAGTTACAACTCCGCTATCTATTACTCGATCGGCTCTACAGAGTATGCGATAGTAATAGCACCCCCTGGTCCGATGAACGGAACTGGATCAGTGGGTTGGAATGAGTGCTTTGACAGCGCCGTTGGCCTGGATATAGAAACGGTTAAAGGCGAGATGAGCCGGTCGGATCTCAAGACGCTTTCTATTCAAGAGTGCATTGACACATTCGCGCATGACTTTGTATCCGGGCAAAGGATGCTTGTTTTGGTGACGGACGATCCAATGCCAGACGGCGAGCCTCTGGCGTTTATGGGACGGACAGATTCGACCTACATATATGAAGATGGCAGTACTTTCAAATGGATGTGTGGTAGTGACAGTGTCTGCAGCAAAGATATTGTGAATCAGATGGTCAATGGGGAGGAATGGACCGTCCAGCCACTTCGGGCATCTACTCCATGGATAAAGCTCCAGATCCCTAACGAGAACGGATTCCAGAACGCCTCATGGTCCTCTGGCTCTTGGTTAAGCCAGCCCGACATTTCCCACACGCCAGATACCAGACGCTTGAACGAAATTCTTCACCGAGCTACGCATGAGGGCGAGGTGCAGGCTGCACTTGACGATCCCTCTAATTGGGCCAATGCTTCCTTCCCGGGAAATGTGACGATATTTTTCTACTCGTTTGAGTGTCCTAGCTCATTTCGACCAACCAGACTGACGCAGACATGTCGGATTGATCACTGTTTAACAATTCCGAAAGACGAGTCTTGCCGACTGACGTTTAGCCCGCCAATTTGTCTGGTTGTCATTGGGTGCAACTTAATAAAGTTGATCTGCGCACTATTGACCGCGCGCGATGGGAGGGAGGACTTATTCCTTACAATGGGGGACGCGGTCGCATCTTACCTTGCTTGCCCAGATCCGAGGACAGAGGGGGTGTGTTTGCTGTCCAAAGGGCTGGTCAACAGACGGACTCAGGGCTGGCGCAGGAAGCCGAAAAAGAAGGACAAGACACTGGATATTCCCCTATACTTAAAGCTTCCACTTCAACTACCTTCCAGAAAACGGTGGTTTCAAGCCGTTAGTACGGGACTGTGGATCTCTACAATCATCCTGTAAGCCTCTCCGTGTAATAGCCTGGAGTATACTAACATGTCAGATTTGTCTGCATGATTGCCCCAGGCATCTACGGCCTCCTCGTCGCCATCTCCTGGTTTTCCGATTTATCTCGCGCAACCATCTGGGACAACACTCTGGGCGAAGAACGCCCATCAACTCTAATAGGCATACCCACCCGACCCGACGCAATGGGAACATTCGCCATGATCATCCTACCAAACGTCCTACAACTCTTCGTCTCAATCGCCTACTTCATGCTCGATGCCCTGCTGACCGCTATGCTCGGAGCCGTGGAATACAACAACTACGCGCGGAATCGCAAACCGTTACGCGTCTCCTGGCCCCGCGGCGCCCAGCGCTCCACTTACTACCTCTCACTGCCATACCGATACGGCTTACCGCTCCTCATCGCCTCCGCGGTTCTACATTGGCTCGTCTCACAAAGCCTCTTCTTTGTACAAATCATTTCCTTCGACATAAATGGCGTGCCTATCCCTACGACGGGGTCTGCCAGCTGCGGTTACTCGCCTGTTGCTATGTTGTTCGCTATCATTGTTGGCGGCTCGCTACTTATCGTCCCAATACTCCTGGGCCTGCGCCGCTTTGAATCCCCGATGCCCCTGGTGGCACAGTGTAGTGCGGCGATTAGCGCCGCCTGTCATCCAATGACGTCCACCATGGACGACACCGCTAACCACGCGCTCAAACCTGTGCAGTGGGGTGAGATTCCGGGCAACTACTCGGGTCGAGACATGATGACATTTTCACGTCGAATAGATGGTGATGAGGATGCCAGTGGGAGTGGGAATGGAAATGAGGAGCTGCAAGAGATATTCCCGACCGCAGACCTTGATAACTTGACTGGCACTGGTGCTGCGAACTCGTGGCTTTATCATTGTACTTTTACGTCGGAGGATGTGTGCGAACCGAGGGAGGGGTGTGTTTATGTATAGCGCTATGTCTTTTCCAACTTAGGGTCTTAAAAGTGCTGTGCTGTCACATTTCAATGAAAATTCGCACCACAACGATAATTTCCTTGAACATGAAGCTACTCTCCCCACCTGCCAGTGGTATCCATAGCAAATCGCCAGTCAGAAGGAAGGCGTGTTTCCGGCGTACGCAACGCGGAGAATGTGGCCCGAGGCCTCAGAGGACGGGCCCAGGCTGTCGGGCACCTCTTCGAGCCGCCGCCGCAGCTGCTCGCGGAACTCGGCGAGCTTTTGGAATTTGCCGATTGCCTTTTCGTCGAGGTGGAGGTCGGCGAGCCCCTGTGTGAAAATCAGCAAATTATCGATGGCGCGGTCCATATGCACATTTCGCGGCGGCTCGTGTGATGTGGTCAAGCGCGAGCCTGTTGTGGACGATGCATCTTTGGCGCGGTCTATGTGCGCATCTCGCGGCGGCTCGTCGGACGTTGTCAAGCGCCAAGGTGATGAGGTCGATGCACTTTTGGCGCGGGTAGTGGATTTTAAAGGCCAGAAGTCTGTTTCATAAGTTAGTAAATGCGGTAGATATGTGAGAGCATAGAGAAGCGCGAGTAATTCACAGACAGTCGGAGATGCTTGAGATGACACCTTGCGAAGATGCTTTACTCTGATTTTCAACTCTAACCTGATTTTTAAATTCCGGCGGCCAAATGTCTACCATTCCTAAGTCAGCACATGCATATCATCCTGATCCTATAGGCGGACAGATGGCGTGGAAACAAACGTATAGTCCAAGGCTGCAGCATCAACAAGCGGCCTACCCTCTAGTCTTAGGACGCTGAGTCCCGCGTCTAGGCTCATATAGTAGAAGTACTTACGTAGCCACCGAAGAATAGACAACGGCACTCGAGGCCACGGGCTGATAAGTACAATATTAGGCTCCTTCTTAGGCGGGGGGTCTTCAACGGGATCCCAGCCACCCTCCGTGTAGTAGAAGGTAACCTCGGCTATATTAGACCTCATTAAAAACATTTAGCGGGCGGGCACCTCCCGCCCTCCGCCCTCATTTGTATAAAAAAGGTTGACCTTTCCTAATTTAGACGTATAAAACTGCTAAGTCATCTTAATAAATTACTATTATTTAACACTGTTCTGGTTTGAATATAGTTTTATACTCTATTTCTTTATTAGTATTAAGAAATTTTAAGAAATCAAGTTATATTATAATTAATCGTAGTAGGTAATAGTGATATTGTAGATTTTTAATCTCTTTAAGAAAAGTAGTGGTTAGTAATTTAAATGTTGCTAATTCTATAAGATAAAGTTGAACTATTAAAATACCTCTATAGTTACCCGAGGATATACTAAGAAGCAAAAAGGGGGAGGGAGAAAATTTCCGTACTACAGGGAAATTCCTTTAAAAAGAGCCGGCTATAATAATCTATGTAGAAAGTAGCGGATCCTTATAGCTCTAATACTAGGCTCTAAGACTAGGTATTTCAATAAGATCTATATTGCCTTGCAGTGCATGTCACAGCAGAGGGAGTAGATACCACTGATTATTGGCTTTGAGGCCAATCCTGTGCCCAAAGATTCTCATGGGTGCCTTTATTTGCTAATGTATCTGCTTGGTATATCTCCATGGCACTGTGTATTACTAGAATCACCTATGACGAGGTAGCCGAGGCCGTGCCCCGCGCGCACCAGATGGCTGACGACCTGTCAATGCAGAGGTATATCTGCTGTTGGCTGATGGCCGGTGGGAGGTCAAGCACCCGTTAAAGGCCCTTACCCAGATAGTTTAATAGGGAAATAACTCGATAAATTTTGGCTCTAGAATAATCCTTTATCGCCATTCACAAGCCCACGCAAACGACATGACAACGCGGGCGCCATCTAGTATCTGTACGACCTGATACTGCCCCACGCTGTCTCTCAGCTGGCGGATTCGGTGCGGTCGAAGAAGGACGCAGGGAGGGAGGGCTATTGACAGCCAGGCGGCCACTCGACGCAGGACCCGACGAATGATCATCGCTGATACATATCAGGGACTGAAGACAGGGTTCTTGCTAAATCTTGTAAGAGAAGCAGGAGAAGCCCGCTTTACAGTAGTATGCAGCTGCATCCATTATCGCGACCGTAACCCTATGTAACAGATGTCAAGAGTTAGTACCTTGAGAAGTTTTGACATGGTTTCCATATACCCAAGGGGTGGAACATCTACTCCCAATGTACAAGGACATAGAGAGGTATGGTAGGTATAGATACGTACGAAGGGAGGAATTGAGTGTCGCACGGTAGACATTCAACGGCATTGGCAATTCATTTGACTAAACCACGCGGCTTATGAGTCGCCTGACTCATTCAAAAATGAAGAAGATTAGGGTTTCAGGAAGGCAACAGGATGGACATAAGAAATCAGAATGAAGATTGGTTCAAGAATGATCAATCAGAAGCAGACATAAAAGCAACTACTCGAAATTCCAGTCCGACTTCGACAGCCCCCATTGCTCACAAAGAGTACCAAGCCACTTAGAAAGGTTGATCAACTCATCACTTCCATCCTCAGCTTTCACCGGAATCAATCTCTTCCACGCGCGAACATAGCTAGCGATCGTCCAAGGCTCCAACTCCCACCAGTCGTGCAGTTTGCTACAAATAAGAACCTTGGCCGCCTTATCTGATTGAAGATCATTGTAGCAGATGTCGCAAAGGTCCATCGAGTGGCAATACTTGCAAATGTGAAAGCAAATCTCATAATCCCATTCTCGATCGCAATTATTGCACAAGTAGGTGGTGCTTATCACAGAGTCGAATTGGTTGAGAATCATGAGCACCTTGCTATAGATGGCAGCCTCCTCACTGTCAGACTCTGCCGCCGCTGACAGTCTCTGTGCCTCTTTCAGAACCGCCAGAAGGTTGCTGGCGTCCGTCCTATCCTCAGGGCACTCTCTTTCGTAGAATGGGACCAATACCGCGCTGGCTACTTCCAGGGAAGGCTCTTCTTCCGCGAAAAGCGCTTTGAGAACTTCCCCATTGAACTTGCGTGCTGGAATCATGAAAGAGGCTTTCTGGGCATTTTCATAGTCTCCCGTGCGGGCTAGGAGGCTCCGAATTGCGATGAAGCCCTGCCAGTCATTGCCAATGTCATCATCAAAGAGAATATTAAACGCAGTCACCATCTCAGAGCGAAGTAGGTCTCGTGCTCTGTCGAGTTGTCCCTTCGAGGTGTATAACAACGCGAGCACGTACTTGACACTTGAGGAGAGCCTGTCCTCCTTGTATGCTTCTTGCAGTTTTTCCACATTGTCTTCAAGCTCAGCGCCCTCAGCATGGATGGCCCTCTCAAAATAACCGATGCTGAGATGATCAAGCGCCTGTTTTTCGACAAATTCAAGGTCTTCTTGATCTTCCAAAGGAACCTTGTCGCGAACTGTTGCGAGACACTCGCGCCAATACCCCATGGCCTTTGCGCAATCGTCAGGAAACTCCTTACGAAGATAGTGCATGGCGTTCCCTAGCTGTAAGAGGAAAATGGCGAGATCATTGTACTTATTCGCCGTCCGCGCATCCTCAATCGCTGATTCCAGCTCACGCTGGAGGACAGTGCAATATTCTGGGGAGGATAGGATCAGTGAGGAGAGTGCCTTGAACACAGCCAGCACTTTCTCCTCGTCTTCGTAGCCAACAGCCGTTTTGAAGATGGAGATAAAGACCGTAGAGTTTGTGCCTGGGGCCTTCTCGGTAAAAGCCTTCTGAATGATAAGTCTGGCCTCGTCTTCTTTGCCGGCCAAAACATATCCCGTGAGAAGAGCGTAGACAGTATCCACGTTCCCTTCCTCCTGCTGATATGCTTGCTCGTAATATTCCAATGCAGCCTCTCGGTTGGAAGAATGTTTGCCCAGCGCTTGATAAACGTCTCGCAGCAGCTCTTTTTGAATGGGGTGCTGAGCTTTGAGAATGATTGCAGCCTATGGATCGGATTAGAAAGAGTATAAGGAGATTGGAGACTCGTACCTGTTCATACTGCTTCACGGCAGCCTCAGTTTCACCCATGCCAACATAAGTCAGAGCGAGACGAGTACACCAGGTGTGATCTGGTTGACTCTCTTTCAAGGCCTGTTTGCACCATTGCTCGGCTTTGATCACCATTTCAAGAGCAGGATTGTTTGAGTCAATGGGGGTTTCTTTGTCGTCCTCATCTGTTTCAACTTCCTTGTCGGGTTCACCTTCTTCATCAGAGTCACCTTCATCAGAGTTACCTTCTTCGGCTGTTGGATTCGTGCCCTGATCAAATAGAGCAAAGTCAGTATGTACCCAGGACATTCAAACGATAAAGACTTACCAAAGTAAGGAAGCCATTGACCCAATTGTATGCGTCCAAGGGCTCCCATTTGCTCTCTTTTAACCAGTTTCGAGCAACGACAGTCATGATGGGAGTTAGGAGGCTCTGACTCCTATTTTTGTCTTCCTTCATCTCCGCCAGCCATCTCTTGTCGCGAACTCCCAGGCGCCCAACGGCCACAGGGTCATCCAACCATTTCCAGAAGATTTCCATCTCCTCATCGCTCTTGTACCACGTAACCCAATAACGGAACTCCCAATTCTTCTCAATCATATCCCCTTCATTAAAGATGTCATAGATGTGCGATGCAACGTACTGTTTCTCGGCTGGTAGGAGTTCGTCCAAACCGGTGGCTTCGTACAACGCCCTGAGATGGTCCGTGATATATCCCATCAGATAATTTCCTAGACGCTTGCTTCTTTCATCCTTCACGGGTACAAGGAAGAAGCTGAATGCCCGTTTAACAATCTCAAAATGGGCGTCGACTTTGTACAACTGTATCTTCCTAGTGCCAGTGTTGGGGATGTCTGATTCAGGTTGGAAGGCAAATTTTTCAAGGAAGGAATAATCGTTCAAGGCCCAGAAGAAGCGCTGAACTGCGCTGATATTTCCATTTGTGATGCTGATGGTCGCGGTAATCTTGGGCTCGTCAGGGGAATGTCTGGCCTTGTCGCGTTTGGTGACAACACAGTCCTCAACGTGATCTCTAAGTGTCATGTATTCATCCCCATAAGCCAGCACAAAGAGCTTGGAATATTTGCCGGTAACCTTTTTTGCCAGCGGTTGAAGGGAGACAGTGTTGAAGCGAAGGAACAGGGCGGCCGTCAGTTCCTCGAGGTCAAAAGCTCCACTGCCAGCGACTGCCCATATCAACAACTCGTTGATCTCTTCGATCTCCCTTGGTTTGAGGACGGCTTCCAATGTCTCAAGATCAGATCGTACCAGGTCCGTCGGGTCCGAGCTGGCGTCCTGTAATACTTGGTTAAGCTCGTCCTCCGTTCCACTTGAGGCAATGATCTCTTTGATCTTGCTCAGATCCTGCTGGACTGCGGTGTAGCAGTTATTGGACCGCTTCATCAACCGTTCCTCGGCCATCTTTTTGCGCCGCTGGGAGTCCTCATCCTTTCCCTGGAACAGATCATCCTTCTTGAGCTCTTCCACGATGAAGGCTTGGATGTCATCATGGTTGTGCTGTGTAATGTCAATGCACTGGGTCGAAGCTGAGCTTAGCTTGCTCTTCTCTAACATCGGGGGTTCCACGCTGACGAGAATGCGGACTCGATTGGACTTTCCAGCTTCGGAATTGGCAAGGGGTCCTTGTTGGATGGCTTCCACCAGTCGATCAAGCTCTGTCACTTGAAGGGTACTTTCACTGACAGAGTCCAGAAAAATGTAATGCGTTGTGTTCTTGGCCGGGGATCCAATGTGCAATGTCTTCCAAAGTTCCGGACAGTTGGCATCTCGAAAGTACTTCTCATCTTTGCCAGGCTCGCTGCACGCACCGGCCACATGTTTTGCATAGACATGACCCTGTTCTGCCAGCTGCACGCAAATGGATTTGATCGCTGTCTCTGGTCGTTGTTTGTCACTATCGCTCTTCCCAGCAATCGAGAAAGAGTAATAGCCGACCAGGTTCTGCTCAGCCTTGATCGCAGAGTTACTGGACTTAATCTCTTTGGCAATTGCAGAGACCAGGTAGGACTTGCCTGTTCCTGGGTCCCCAGTCAGCACCAGGAAGGGGTCGGCTGTGCTGTCTCTATCAATCCATTGCTTGTATTTATCGATGTTGTTCAGCCATTTGCCGCTATCCTTTACAGAGCTCTTCCACATTCTCTCCCGGGCGTCTATCACAGTTGCAATATGCTCATCCTTTAAGCCAAGCATAGTTTTGATTGTGCTCAAATATTTCTTGCGAGTATCGTCCAGAGTCCGCTTGCGCTCTCCTTCGACTAATCCAGACACTTCACTCTGGATGACTTTTGTAGTTGCGTCGATCTCAATTGTCGTAGTCTTGATAAAGCTAGCATATTGATTTGTTTCCAGTGCCACCTCAAGGGTCAGAGTTGCCTGGATATTGAGCTGACTCTGGGTGAGCTTTTTGAATTTGTCCAGGTTATCCTTGACAGATCCGTCATCCAGGAGAATCTTTTTGGTGCTGCGCCTGAAGCTTTTCCATCGACCCTCTTTATGGATGACCATGCAGTCAGCGCACAGATCCACGAAGCACGTCATGACCTCAAATATAGACATCCGCAGAGCCTCATCGATCTCAGCGTTCTCTTCCATCCGCTGGTAGATGCGAAACTGGGCGAGCGCCGGTTCGACTTCCTCAAAGATCGCATCGATCTCACCGTGAAACTCATGGACCTTCTTGGGAATGTCAAGGAGGAAGGACAAGGCGTTGAAACAGAGCCCTGCCGGGGCGAATACCTGGTTTGGGTCAGCCAGCGGCTCAGATGCAAGGGAATCTGCCCTACCATTGATGCTCCCTGGGCCGCAATGCCACCTAGCAGCTGGATGCAGTGAATCATCTGAAACCCAATCGCCTTCGCCTTGGAAACATCGTCACTGTCACGCCGGTCATCATAATGGTCCTTGAGGGTCTTTTGGAGGTCATCGAGGCTCCTAGAGACGCCGTCGAGCCTCTGGCCCGTGCGTTCCTGGAAGTGGATAATGGTCTTGTCCCAGAACTCCTTCAATGATTGTGGGGTGTTGTCCTTGGACTCGGTGCTCATTGTGAGCTGCGGTGGATTTGGAGATTTTCTTGGTATTTGTCGATGAAAGAAGACCACAGTTGACTATTTCATGGCAGGTCGGGAGATTTTACCTAGTCTCACATCAGCCCCCACCTAAGCTAAGCCCGACATGGCCTAGAAAAAGCAATTCATATGTGCAGCATTTTAGGTAAAGGATGTAGAGGAATATGAGCATATCCTTGAGGAGTGAACATCATTGAAGTAAAGGATGAGGCCCATTAAACTTGCCTCTACTAAGTAATATACAGAGTATAAGGTTCAAATACCCGGCTTTGGAAGATCCAGGCCCAGCAATAGGGGTTGTTGTGGTGACTTTGTTGACGGGCAGGATTCTTCTTGTTGCACCCGAGAGCGGGGTAATCAAGCAGGTACAACTTAAAATTTACGGATGTACATGTTTCATTGAGACCTCACCTAGAAAGAAGTTACTCTCTAAAATCTATAATTACTTCGGATAGCTTTGTCCTTCGAGCGTCGCATCTACTACCTGCGAGTGCTCTCTGCAGTTAGGGCTGGCTATGACGACACCTTGCCGCATACAGTCCTACATTGCCAATCTATCAAAAAGTTTCACCTCTTTTTTCTTAAATCTCTTGTTACAATCTGTATGATAGTCTAGTATCCCACTGGACTCGCTATAATCTACTAAAAGTAGGTAGGATACCCGAACAGTGAAGTTGTCTGAGCGTATGTTTATCTAGGTTGACTTATATTCTAACTCTAGAGCAATATGGCACGCCCCTGGGTTGAATGGCCAATATCGTAACCTGGTCAAGTTGCCCCATCTGGTCATTTAAGACCCGGACCTCAGGAGCCAGCCCGAGAAGCCAATCAAGTTCCTGACCTGTGGCGTTTTGTAGACTGCTATAATCAATGAGACTCTATGCATATCATCCCCGGCTCTCAGGGTTCTTACTCGCGCTGTCCCGGCCGGAGGGACCAAATAGGTTTCCGCAGCGGTACTCGTTGGCACTCGGCTGCGATTTGTCTTTCGAAGCGGCTAGCTGACAGATAATGTTGCTTATGGCCTATTATTTTCCTTTTTTTCTGGGCGGCTTGTCAGCATAGTTGGAGCCTTATTGCCTGATCACTCTAGGAACGATGCTAATTTACGTGAGGTGCCTTTTCATTTATTCTTGGTGCTTGGAAATTGGATACTTTGTTCCAAACAATGGACGACATTTCAACAGTCGGAGTAGTACAGAGTGATGCTCAGGTACGCTGATCCACGGAAACATTATGAAGTGTCTAGAAGAGCTGTGATTACGGCTCTTCACGGAACTACAAGAACTGCGAACCGCCCGGTCCCGCCCCTCCGCGGGGAGATTCTTGGTTACGAAGCTGGAACCGCCTCATGGTTCAAGGACGAAGAGAACCGCCCCTCAAACTAACTTAAATGTTGCCTGTGCTATATTGTTCATTTCCCATACGGAGTACAAAACGACCACTTAGTAGAACACGAAACAAGTATTGAATTGAATGATTAATCTGACCCCTCGGAGTCCCAACATGTTGTTCAGTCCGCTCGAAGCCTGACGGTAATGGATTCCTTGCTCCACGAGGTTTTCCGCGGCCCTGTGTAGTTGCTGGCTCCTGTATAGCAAAGCTGGGATCTATTGGATTCGCAAGTCCGCCGGGTAGATACTACTGAGTGTCAAATTCAGGGATTAGGAGCGGTCGTTGATAGCTTGTTGATGGGAGGTGCTGACAGGCGGTGATGACAATACAGCGTATCGGGCGGCTATCCCCAAAACGGCAAAACTAACCACAACAGGGAATTCGAAGCTCATCACTTTACATCTTCTATGCGATCTCGAAAACTGTCCCCTCGACTCGCAGACCTCAAATCTACCAAGATGAGAAGGTTGGATGAGATTATCATGTGTATGTCGACAGCTCTAATATCCCATCCCAATCGACACCTAGGAAGCCCATCAAGCTGCTTTCGTGAGACAGCGTAGCGCGAGGTAAAGAGAACCCAGCCGGGACTTCAGCCTTAATCGAAGCTCCACCTACAATCACCCGCCATGACAAGTCCCTTCCTGCCAGTCAGGAGTCCCCTGAGAGAATCTCCCAAGAAGCAGTTCGCCCACCAAAACGCCGAAAAGCACAGTAACGAAGACGCCGACGTTGAAAGTCATCACGGATAGCATCCTATCAATTTCAAAAATTAGTCGATCATTCCATGCACCACACTATGCAGAGAGCCGCAGATATGACCACTCACAAGAGATATCCAATCAAAGCCCTAACACACTCCAGCAAGGCACGTGTCCCGTCTTTCCGAAGACTCCACATTCCACTGGCCTTCCACGACGGGAGCATGCATTGCAGTGAGGTCTTGTTCCGAGGGCCATCCCTTTTGAGATGTCTCATTGACATCCTTTGTGTTTCATCGTTAGTTGAAACTGGCAAAGTCTCTTCGTCGGGGTCCTCATCCCCGTGTATGCGCATATAGTCTGGAAGAGGACTGAGCTTCGCTTTTCGGATCCTTTGTCGCGGATTTACTGGAGCGAGAAGCAGGGTTGGAGGTGAAGCGGCATGATGAGACCAGGATTTCTCGAGTTGGAATTTGAGGGCGCCGAGGAAGCGGTTGAAGATGGCGAGGAGGAATAGAAAGGCCAGCGTGAAGACGTATTGCGTCGTGGTTGAGGTTGTCCAGCCTGTGAATAGGATTGTGATTTCAGTGGAGGCTGAGAACACTGCTGGCATATTCATGTCCATGTCCATGGTCGCGATAGAATGTTCACTCGAGTGCGAGTGCTAGTCAGAGTCTAAGATTGAGTCCACAGCATTGTATTACTCCACGTTGGGGATGGTCAAGGGTGGGAAAGCCTGCAGGAAACAGGCCAGAGAGGATTAGATGGCATTTGCCCTTGCAGTTTCAGATGAATGAGGTGTCGAGTTCATCTAATAATCTAATCTAAAATGTTCTCAAATACGATCACGACAGCATACAAGCGCAAATGCGCTCATCTTCACATGCAATGTCTCAAATGTTACTTTCCCATTTGGCGAACTATAAAAAGAAGAAACTGCAAAAAGAAACCTTGGGAGTCTTGCTTTTCGAATAATATATTGCAAGTCAGTTCATTCATTGACCTCAGGTCTAATCATATTTCACAGGGGAAGAAGACTGGAACACGCCCAAGTAGCGGCCCTCTAAAAGAACAGCGATTAAAAGAGTCTGGGAAAATTCATAAATGGACCACCATGAGCCCAGCGCTTTCACCTCTTATCATATCATGCCTGTCTGTTGCCCAGCCAAAGTGCGCATACAGATACATGGCATGCACATGCGAACGATCGTGGATATAGAGTCAGAGACAAAAAGAAGTTCAGAGATTGAAGATCTCATGAGCGGCCATACCGCGTCTTTCCGAAGGAGAAAGGCACATAGCGGTACTTAATCATGTGCTGGATTTGTCGTCGCACTGCAAAAGAAAAGGGCCAAGTTAGACAGCTATCCACACAAAAATGATACATGTATTGTATCGAATACCGACCAAAACGGGAGAAACGTACTCGTCAACACAAACAGAATCATCCAGTAAACAACCAGCACCGGCCAGAAGACGGGGATATCGAAGACGGAGAGCCAAGAACAAACAAAGGCGATGGCGATGGCGCGAGTGGCCGAGTGCCAGAACTTGAACTCCGGCAGACGGCGGATGAAGGGTCGGAACTCCTCATCCTTCTTGGTAGGGAGGCTGGGGGACCCGGCGTCACCGTCCTCGAGGCCCTCGTCCTGGGTAAGGGAGGGGTCGAATTTGGGAGTCAGGAAAGCGAGGAAAAGGTTCAGGAGATAAATGCCGAGTGTATAGGCGACTGCAATTTAAGATCCCAGCGTTAGCGGTTTGCTTATGAAGACGTTTCCAGCGCTGTGGATGAATTGCTTTCGCGTGTCGGAGCCGAAGCACATCATTTTCGCTCTGCTGATCCCGGTTTCAGGGGTTTGATTGAGTCGTACCGATATACCAGCCCTGCGCGAGGAAAATGCGCAGGAAGAAGACGAACAGGAGCACGCCAGAACCAACCCAGCGGTAGGTTGTGTACGGGGTCGAGGCATCGAGGTAGGCTTGGTAGTGCTGGGATTGAAGTATTAGCATATTGATCAGACTATTGCGACTCATTTCAGGAATAAAGGAAGGAATCCAAAGACATTGCGCAATGCCTTTGCCCCTCACGAGACACTCACTCGAGTCAGTTTAGAGGTGTGCGCAGACACGGCTGTGAAGGGCGACTGATCGGGCTCAGGGACATCCATGATGAAGATATTAGAGAGAATGGGCAAAGCACAGGGCTAGACCACCGAAAGAAAGAAAGGAAAGAGGAAAGGCAAAGGAAAAGCAGTGATTAAGATAAGCTGCTGAAACCAGACATTCCGAGACAGGCACTTCAGGACAGAAAAGTGTCCACTGCCCACCAATCATATTAGAGATTAGTCACCAGCCACTCAGATACACGTGATATGTGGCACAGTCAGTATGTGGCAGTGCAGTGACATAAGGTAGACTAAAAGGGTTTAGCCACTTCACGTGTACCTCGGGACGGTTAACTTCGGCGTTCTGTCGGTCGCGGGGAAACGGGCCATCTATGATGGTATCGCGTAGCTACTTTCTCTCCTTTCTCTGCATAATTCAATCTCAATTATCTGAAGACACCTAGGTAATTGTCTTTTTCTTCACATATCACAATGTTTGCCCGTCAATGCACTCGTCTGGCTACTTCTCGGACATCAGTCCCCTTGACTTCCTACCTAGCCCGAGTCCGGGGTTATTCTTCAGCTGCTGGTAGCTACGAGCACATCCTCACCTCGACCCCCAAGCCCGGCGTGGGATTGAGTATGTAACATCGGCCAATATACTACAGGACCGATTCTAATGGTTATTATAGTTACTCTTAACCGCCCCAAGGCTCTCAACGCACTATGCTCTCCCTTGTTCAAGGAGCTTAATGAAGCCCTGAGCAACTACGACAATGACAAGAGCATCGGCGCGATTATTATAACAGGGAGCGAGAAGGCTTTTGCGGGTACGTATATGCCCTATTTACACCTTTTCACCATATCTTTTCCCGTCGCTCCCTCACCCTAATCCTAATGTACATCAACAATATAATAACCAAACAAACCCACTACAGCCGGGGCCGATATCAAAGAAATGGCCCCTCTAAGCTTTTCCGCCGCCTACAGCGACAACTTTATTGCGCCCTGGTCCCACCTCGCCACCTCCATCCGCACCCCAGTCATCGCGGCCGTCTCCGGCTACGCCCTCGGCGGCGGCTGCGAGCTAGCCCTGATGTGTGACATCCTGTACTGCTCCGAAAACGCCACCTTCGGTCAGCCGGAGATCAAGCTGGGCACAATCCCCGGCGCAGGCGGCTCTCAGCGCCTGACTCGGGCGATCGGTAAGAGCAAGGCCATGGAACTTATCCTTACTGGAAAGAACTTCAGCGGTAAGGAGGCTGGTGAATGGGGTGTTGCGGCGAAGGTTGTGCCAGGTGGTAAGGAGGAGTTGCTTGAGCAGGCGTATAAAACGGCTGAGACCATTGCTAGCTATAGCCGTGTGGCTGTTGTTGCTGGTAAGGAGGTTGTTAATAAGAGTCAGGAGTTGTCGCTCAAGGAGGGTGTTGAGTATGAGAGACGGTTGTTCCATGCGCTCTTTGGGAGCAAGGATCAGAAAATCGGTGAGTTTGCGCTTTGCTCTGCTGAGCGGGTGGGTTTGGGTTGGGGTTTGCTAACAAATGTCCTAGGTATGACTGCCTTTGCGGAAAAGAAGAAGCCTGAGTGGTCCCATGAATAGATGATGGGTGAACATACTCATTTTGAATGAAGAAACTGGATTTTTTCATCGCCTCTGCGTAATTCACAACGTCGGAGCTGTAGAATAGAGGATTGGTTATATGACATAGTGCAGTATCATCTAACTCACTTCCGCCTGAATTTTCATCTACAGCCTCATACATTGCGGGTTGGTTAACCCAGGAAGGAATGTGCAGGAAACGGGGCATTCAGTACCAAAAGAAAAGTGAAGATATGAGAGAAATTTAAGACCTCATCTTAAATTTCGTATTTGAGCATCATATGAAGATATTAGATTAATGCTATTAATGCTGAAAAATGCTATGTACATGCAAGAGTGCCTAACAATTGAGGGACCAGAAGCAGAATTAGTCGTAAACATAAGACACATCGCATCATATCGAACCGTGATTTTTCTCCAATTGGCTCTCATCGGTTCGGTTATTTCTCTCCGCTCGGTAATCATCAATGACACGGCCCTCGATGGTCTCATCGAACACGTCCACCTGGGTCTTCGCGAACTTGCGAGCGCTGACACCGCGCTCAAAGAGTAGGTCAAGCTCGGCGAACGACCGGCCGCGAGGCTCGGGGACGCGGAAGTATGTGTAGATGATGCACAAGAAGCAGATGCCACCCCAGAAGAAACCGGCGTAGTTGCTCCAGTTCCAAGCGCCGGGGTTCAGCATGTAGGGGGTCAGAACGCCGCAGACGATGGCGACGATGTTGTACAGGTTGCGGCCGAGCACGACTGTCTTGATTTGCAGTCGGCGGGTGGAGAGCTCGGCTACAAGGGAGAAGCAGACCGTGCCAACGGTCAGCTGGTAGAATAGGGCCCAGATCAACATCATGGAACCCGTGGCCAGGGAGCGTTGCTCTTTGTGCTCTTTAGGAACAAGACCAAGGAAACCCATGACCAATAACATGGTGCAGAGACCACAAAGACCGTACAGATATAACGTCCGCCGGCCGATTCCGAGTGTCATAAGGAACCATGCTCCAAACACGCCGATCATGTTGATGCCGTATTGACCCATGGCAAAGGCATAAGAGTTAGAGGAGTCTAACCCAGCCTGTTTTAAAAAGTAGGTCGAGTAGTTGGAAAAGGAGTTTCCACTAAGATTTTGGATGGCCCAGACCATACAGACAATCTCTGTGCGGCGGAGGTCGGTACCCCGGAAGCAGTCCAAGTAGCTGGCACCCTGGGTAATTTTTTCTTCCAAAGCGGTAGTGTGAACCATCATAGCGACTGTCTCATCAGGATCGAAATCTCCATCCTGACCTTGATTTTTAGAGGTCAACCGCACAAGGGCCCGTTTCGCATCTTCGGTGCGGCCTTTCCGAACCAACCACCACGGGGATTCGGGGGCAAGGTAAATACCAATAAAGAGCGGCAGCGGCCACATCCATTGCAGTCCGTATGGAATCCGGTAGGCCCATTCGTCGTTCCTGTTCAACATGCCCTTGATCACACCAATGCCAATAAGCTGGCCAAGGCCCCAGCAGAAATTGACATAGGTGGTCAAATACCCTCGCAGCGCCACGGGACACACCTCCGAGGCATATGTAATCGTCAAAGTCTGGAAGACACCCCAGGGGATACCGCACAGGATCTCCGCTGCGAGCAGGGCTTGCACATTCTTGGCCGTGAAGAAGATCGACGTCCACGCACTAACAAGGATAAGACAGGCCATAAGCGTGTACCGGTAACCGAATCGTTCCGAAGCCCAGCCGTTGATGAATAGACCGATGATCTCGCCGCAGTAGGCGCCATTGCTCAGTCCTGATTGCCACTTTATATCCATACAATTGTCAGTTTCTTCATCCCTCAAAGATGCAAATCCACCTCACTCCAAGAGAAGGAGGGATGGCCACTACCGGAATTGGTTGAGCTTACCGCTGCGGATACTTCATATGTGCCATCGGCCAACATCTCACCATACTTGCGATTGAATTGCGGGAAAGCATAGAAGTTGTTGACCAAGCTAATATCGTAACCCTCCATGGCAATGCAAGTGGAGATGATCACGCTCCAAAGAACGGCCTTAGGGTATAACCGGATACCCTGCATCAAGCTCATAGACTGCTCCTTCTCAGTGGCCGCCTTTGCATTCTGAATGATCTTGGTCATGGACGAGTCCGAGGCGGGTCCTGCGGTCGAAGAGTAAAGGAATTCGGGAGGGCCATCCACCGGCGTGATGGCATCTGAGGCCTTAGGGTCGGCCATGCTGGATGGGCGGGATAACCGGAAGAGACTGGGAGGAATTGGACGGTCGTCTCAAGCAAATTTCGATATGGAGTTTGGAAGTTGGCCTGGTTCGGAGGTCAGGGGAAAGAAAAATCAAAGTACCCACAATGCTGGGAACATTGCACGCGAGCACTCCAGGGCCGCGAAAAGTCCCCTTGACGCCTACCGAGGGTAAGTGAATACTGCGGCAGAGACAAAAAGGGCTAGACAAAACGAGGATAAACTCAATGGTCCGAAATTGGTGGGGGATCGGGGGAATTGACGGGCTCGATGCCTCCAAGCGCAAATTTTCGCGGGAGGGGAAGCTTGGCGATGCCCGGATGGGGCAAGTGATGGGTCATGGTGACAGTGAACTTGATTATTTGATGAGTGGTGCTATGTTCGGCTTTGTTACTATAACTAGGGTATTTGCTGATCACATAACTTAGAAATCATGACTAGCCCGTATGCAATTGAGAGTTATACGAAGTACTCCGTACTATGTCTTACAACCCCACGTGGGGAACTATGATCCCCGACCCCTTGCAGCAATAAGAATGTACTATATCATAAGAATTGGAGTCTGGTTATTTTATTATTTTACATATATCATACTTAATATTTGATTGTAAGTATATGCATTGGAAAAGAACGAACCATATATACTCTTGATTCCATCCCATTTCTGATCTACTATAAACCGGCTAAAAACGGATATGTTGAAGTCTATATTGAATCCTCCATTGATGATAGTAAAACCATACCTGCCACTTGCCGCTTGGACGACTTCGTTCCTTTGATTGACAATGCTGTTCAAACTTCAGGACTTCAAGCCACAGGGTTCATCTCTCCGTGAAATTCTTTCATAGATCTTCTTTGAACAATCCGACTAATTATAATCTCTTTGGACAATGTGTATTGGTCCAATTTGTCTTTCATAGCCTGCTTTCAACATCTATATTTGCCTCTTTCACCACTCAATTAATCATAGTCTGTTCACTTCTTTCAGATGTTGCTTGACCATTATAATAAGCCATTCTCTTACAATCTCATGGTTCCATCGAGTACTAGCCTCAAAAAGGTCTACTAATATATAGGGCACAATACACTCAATATTTCAATATCAACAACAGTAAGTTCTCCAACAGCAACTAATCCGTCTAACAGCGACCAATTTCTCACGCAGCCAATTCACCCACAACAGCTTAAGTAAAACAATCGTACACACAGAAATGCCACGCAGTCTTCGCTCCGGAAATATCTACGCTTCTCCTCCTCCTCCTCCTCCACCACCACCACCACCACCACCACCGCGCCCTGCTCGTATTCTAGCCGACAATCTAACCCAAAACCGGGATTATGAGCTCGTACGTAGCATGAACGTCCCTATGGGCCGCCCGCAGGAATGTCTCTGAATGCCAGCTCGAATTTATAGAGGTCGGGCCGAAGGACTCAGAACATCCCAAGGACCCAGAGCGAAATAACCACTGCATCCTCAGACTCACATTCTTATATCCACTGGAAGACGACACCCCATACGCACCTATTGACACCAGGGGAGTTGTCCTGGATTGGGAAGGTGTGGACCAACAGGAATTCTCACTTACAGGCGAGCTAATTATGAGTACCTTCAGGTACGGAGGCCCTCATCAGAGGTGGATTCACGTTGTCAAGCTACGTATGGGCGGCGAGAGGACAGTTGGGAATGCTATTAAGATCATTCGAGATACTGGTTTGGTGCCTTCTGGCTTTGATAACTCAAATGAGGGCGTGGTTGGCTGTAGAGATTTTGTGTAAGTTTTGTTCTGTTTCTGATATGTTTTAGGTCATATGCTAATCTACAACTTGATAGATCGCAATTGATTTATCAATTGGATAGGAACAGGTTTCTAAGGCTTCCGGCTGATGCTAGCACCACTATTTATAACTCGTTCAACGATCACTATCATATGTATGATGACCCTGCTATGGGTCATGTTCCCACTCCTGTGGAGTATGCTCTCTTTACAGAGTTATACCAGCATACGGCCATCAACGGGATCAATTATCACGAAACGCGTGAGTTGCCCAGCAGATATTTCCCCAGTTTCATGGCATTGAATGCAAACGAGGTATTGATAGGCCGTTTCTTGGGCGGGCACTAGAAAAAATCGAACAGAATTGTTCGAAATATGGTATAAAAGCCATGGACGATAGGTCCAAGTTATTCGGTGTAGCCCTGGAGACAGAATTGCGAAAAACTAACTCTCGAAGTACGGTGGAAGGGTTACTGTTTCAAGTATTGCGTTGAGGGCATTCGTTGTCTTCCTTTTATTTAGAAAATACATTCATAGACCTAGAAAGAAGATATTAACATGCCATTTTTTTTAGCTGAGTTTACGAAGCACTCAGTTAGTTCCTACACAAGTACCTCATGGTGATACTAAAGTATAATAGAAAATTCGTAAATCGTATTCAAAAAACTGCTGAGACATCTATGTGCAGTGATGTGGAGTGAAACCACGATTACTTGGAGTATGGAAACACAAGGAAAAGTACAACTACAAACGCGCCGGCGGGGCACCGGTAATATGAGCCTCCGTAGCGGACTGGATGCGAGCACCAAGATCCGCGTTAACACGACGGAACATCTCGTAAGTAGCCTTGCGGACGCGCTCATCGGCGCCACAGAGGTGACCAGAGATGTTACCGACAAAGTTCTCCTGCTGGCCGGGCGTACGGCCAAGGACCTGCCACAGGCCGTTAGCCTGGACGTAGTCTTCTGAGGTCACAGGGTACTGCTCGGCGATGACAGCGCCAGACCACTTCTCGTGTTCCTGGCTAGCCTTGACGGGCTTCTGGGCGAGCGGGCGGAAAGTAGACGGGTAGTTAGGGTTAGCGCCGTAGTTGCCGTTGACGTTCATGTAGCCATCGCGGTGTGAGGGGTTGAATGCTTTGAGCGGGCAGTTGACGGGAATCTGGTCGTAGTTGCCGCCCAGGCGGTGGCGGTGCGTATCGGGGTAGGAGAAGAGACGGGACTGAAGGACAGGGTCTGCGGAGGGCTCGGCACCGGGGACCATGTGGGAGGGGGAGAAAGCAGCCTGTTCGATCTCCGCGAAGTAGTTCTGCGGATTCTTGTTTAGGGTGAAGCGGCCAAATCGGCGCAGAGGCACCTCGTTCTGGGGCCAGACTTTGGTCAGGTCGAAGACGTTCCAGCGGAACTTCTCAGCCTGTTCGGGATTCAGGACTTGCACGTAGCAGGTCCAGGAGGGATTCTCGCCGCGCTGGATGGCCTCGAATAGGTCCTGAGTGTGCCAATCAGGGTTTTCGGCGGATAGCTTGGCCGCTTCATCATTGGTGAAGGTCTTGTTGCCCTGGTCGGTCTTGCAGTGGATCTGGACGTAGTTGAAGGTGCCATCTGGCTTGGTCCACTTGTATGTGTGGCCGGAGTAGCCGTTCATGTGGCGGTAGGAGTATGGAGTACCACGGTCACTGAACAGGTGCATCACCTGGTGCACGGCCTCGTGGTGGGTGGAGAGGTAATCCCAGAACATGGTGGCATCCTTAAGGTTGGTCTGCGGGTTGCGCTTCTGGGTGTGGATGAAGATGGGGAATTTAGCAGGGTCGCGCAGGAAGAAAACCGGAGTGTTGTTGAACACCCAATCCCAGTTGCCCTCCTCGGTATAGAATTTCATGGCAAATCCGCGGGGATCACGGGCACTGTCCGGGGATCCCTTCTCACCACCGACGGTCGAGAAGCGGGTGAGCATGTTGGTCTTCTTTCCCACACCCTTGAGCATATCAATGATGGTCTATGCGTTATTAGCCTAGTGTTCTCCGCGGAATTATAGAAGCTGCCCAGGTGGTACATACAATATCGCTAATATCATCAGTGACCTCAAACTCGCCATAGGCGCCAGCACCCTTGGCATGAACCACGCGCTCAGGAATGCGTTCACGGTCGAAGTGTGCCAGCAAATCGATCAGGTGGAAATCCTGCATCAGAAGAGGGCCGTTGGGCCCAATGCGCTGAGCAGCCTGGGGGTCCATGACCTATATGTATGTGGTTAGACCTTGCGATTCACGAGGAAATGGGCTGGGCGTACTGGGCAGCCGTTGGAGGCCGTGTAGACCGGAGTCTCATTGTAGCGGTAGGTTTCTGCGAAAGAGAGGGCATTAGGTGGTGTTCTGGGCTTCGATGGGGGTGCAAAACCTACTAGGCTCGTTATCTTGACCCATGATGGCAGATTGTGTATGGAGAAGAGAGAAGAATCCCGGGAGCACGCTGGTTTATATAGGGGGGAAAAACTGCCTGGTGGGGAGCCATGGAACCCTCCAACGAAGCCCATGGCCCCACCGGCTTTTGATATAGGAAACCATCCAACTGTCCATTGCCCATATTTTGATGCCTCTGGATATCAGCTAACATCATGATATTTATGTAGAATGTATCTGCAAAATGCCAGGCCTCTGACGTGCCCATGAATGGTCGATATCCGACCTTGGAATCGTCAACGGGCCGATGTCATCCTATCAGGTCCACTCCCCAGAATTGGAGTGAAAATGGAATAGGTTTGTATGTCGTAAAATAGACCATGGCTAGGCCTATGTTATGGAGGGAGAGACATTCTGGGGAAGTCAAGTTTTCCCAATTTAGCAGTTCGATCCGAGCTCAAGCTGTCAGAATTTGTGCTACCGGGAGATCGGCAAGTCCCGGCTTCCGACCCGGTACGGAGTTGACCTTGCAGCCAGCTGAACAGAGTCAAAAGCACATTTTATATCCAATGAATTCATCAACTATCTAATTGTCATAGTACGATAGCAACCGAAAACCTCCAAAGGTAAGACCCTCCAAGGTATTGCGCGAGGAAACTTGCCTCGACAAAGAACCACGAATAGTGCTTCCTTTGGGATTTCTCCAAGAAACAGCCAAAAAGCTCTCAGTCCAGTCGTGAAAACAACAAGAAAAAAAAAGTAATAACAAAAAAAACAAAAAAACAAAACGAAAGCTCGCTCAATGCGCCAATCATATATCTTGTATATTGCAGGGGAAGGAAAGCTCAAAGCAAATTGAGGTCTTGACAAATCGTAAAAGTGGGTGGGTATATCTAGCGCTTGCGGCTTCTCAAGAGCCTACAGACCAATCGAAATAAAGGGGCGCCGAGGGTATGCTGCAAGTGCATGCATGGGAAAGAATAGGGTTAGCTGGTAGGAACGGGCACCGAGGTGACCGCAGGCGGGTTAGTTGACTCATCCCAGCATCCCCATATTATTCCCGGGCTATGACAGGTTGCCGAAGTGGGCGAGGCAGAATTAGCGGTAGTCGTGGCTACCGTACTCGTTTCGTCCCGGCAACCGAACCACCCTGGGTCGTGACAGCTGGTCGTTGCAGTCACCGTGGGCAAAGTGGTAGTCACTGTGGGTGCTGGGGTGGCTGTCGTGGTAGTAGGATCATTGCACCCGAACCAACCAGGAGTCATGCATGTCGTAGTAGTGGCAGTACCTGTCGGTGGAGTCGTAGTCGTAGTGGTAGCAGTTGTGCTTTCATCCAGACAGCCCCACCACCCAGGGGTCTTGCAGGTAGAAGTTCTGGTGGAAGATGTGGTAGTGGTGGTGGTTGTAGTAGTTGTGACCTCAGAGCCGTTGCTTCGGAAGAACTTCCAGAGTTCACAATCGAAGCATTCTTCCTCTGGCACACATGAGGGGACACTGTCGTATTTCAAAATAACATCAGATATCACGTTCTCAATCTTGTGGGTACCAAGACCGACACGCCAGCCCTTGTCTGCCACAGTGTCATATGTGCACACCTGTCCGGTGTGACATGCCGACTCCATCGCATAACCGCCCCATGTGCATATCGAGTTGATTCCGTTGCAGGTTCCCATAAAGATTGGGTCCGCTGTATGTCCAAAGTGGTAGGCTCCAGTAAACTGTCGCGACTGTGGAAACCGTGGGTCATGGCCTGGTGGGCTTGGGAGGCCAAGTCGAGCTGCGGGTAATGCTTCTGGGACGGCCTCAAAAGTCACTACAGGCAACCCGAACGTCAGTCCAACGAGACTCGTCATTGCGCCACCTAGCGAATGACCGGTCATCCAAATATTTGCATCCGGGTAGATCTCCGTAACATTAGAGTATAGGTCGATCGCTGCCCGGTAATAACGGTTTTCATCAGTCATAGACTCAATGATGCATGTCAGATTCGCCGTGAACGTAGCACTCTGGCAATCACAAGATTGTCTCCATAGATATGAGCCTCCTTGGCCGCAGCAACAACTGAAGAATAGGTTATCGTTGACTTTATCGTTGGTTGTGGTACCGGCACCATCAAAAAGAGCGGGCGAAGTGCCCTTCAGAGAAATGACAACAGTGCGGTTTGTCTTATCAGAGTAGATGTGCCCTCTCAGTCCATCCTTTTGCCAACCAAAACTTCCCGAATAGTTGAATTTGCCATTGATAGTGTGCCACTGTCCTGTTCCAGGCTCCTCAATATAGTCATTTGCGGTCATTTGTGCAAATGTCAAGACAGTCTGCTTGTCTGTAATATTCGGACCAGGCAAGGTGTCCATGACCCATTCTAGCGGAGACAAGGCGGCCGCAAAGCCCGAAGACCGCGCAGCTGTCAAGTGACCTTGAATCACCGGGAGTCGTCGGTCCGCTAACCGTTGTATTATGACAGGACTGGATGAAGCAAGCAGAGAGGATTCCGATGCAATATATTCTTCTTCATAGCCATCTTCAGATACAGTTCGAAGGCGAGTGTCTGGCTTGACATCTAGTCTCGCATGAAGGTCGGGTTGTTCATAGGTACCTCGGTGGAAGATATGGCGCAGGGACTATAAACAGTTATTATGGGCCATCTAGGGTGATACAACTTGCGTATGGCATCTTACAAACTCATGGATATCAGGTGTAGCTTCCGCCCCATTCAAAGGTACCTTGGGCGGGATGATGGGAACTTGTTGAGAGGGTGGCTGGTAGCCTGAGGCGGAGGCAGCACCTGATAATACTGCAGCTGATAATAACAGGCTGTGGACGCTAAGCTCAAATCGTGAACGTTTCCGAGGCATGATGGGGGTGATGATGAGGATCAAGATCAAGGAGGCGCGATTCTATGTGAGTCTATCGCGGTTATCGGCAAGTCACTTATCAAGTGACGCAGTGC